AACACAGAGGTTGGTTTTGGTCAAAATTAGATAAAAATTAAAAATATTCGATTCAATTCAATTCGATTCGATTTGAATTCGAAACTTCTTCAAAATATTTGATTCGATCCGATTTGACATAAAAAAAACCCTCATTCGCACAGCCCTAGTTGCATTGATTAAAGATCCACACCTCATGCCATATACATGAGTAAAATGGAAACAATGCTTACCACGATATTGCTAGCTAAATGCGAAAAATGCATAATTCAAATGCAACGCTTAAAAGTCTCTAACGTAACAAGGTGGAGAAATGATGCTGGGTCCACATCATTTCGCAGGGAAATCAAAGCCAAGAAGTTCCAAAAATTAAAATTAGAGTCAAAAATAAATTTTTTTAATTCTCGTGAGTACCAGTACAAAACTGAGAAGGGGAGGGGGGAGAGTGTTCAACTCAAGCAGTTTGCATTGGAATATTAAGTTGGAGTCACGGCTAGAGATCTATACTGGTTTGGGTGTTTTTAGACCTCATCAGAAGATCACACTCGTCAGTGAACCCAACTTAACATGCCAGCATTATAATGCTGTCATGGATATGACCCGAGGCATAACATAAAAGTGTGATCTTTGCGCCATCTACCGTCGCTGCTGAAAAACTGTCATAACAAACAAGGAAAACCCGAAGATGTATAATTTTTTTCAAAGAAAACACATCAAAATGTTTTTAGTAACATGTGAAATTTTTTTTTTTTTTTTTTTTTGAGAATGAGTGAAGAAATTTCACAAAAAATTTCAACAGAAACTGTTCCCCTTTTAAAAAAAAGGACATGGGCAAAGACTTACAGCATCGCAATCTGAGAGGCCAATTTTTGGACTTTCACCATTGATATCCTCAACTAGAGGAACAAAAAAATGAGCATTTGCAAGACCCTCAAATAAATTTGAGCGTGCAGAGAGAAAATATTACCTTTCAAAAAAAAAGAAGAAAAAAAAAGAAAAGAAATAGGAGCGTGAATTTACCTTTATCATAATACATGGGCATTCCAGGCCTAGGTGGTCCGGGTCCGTACTGCATTGGTATGATGGGCAGAGAATATCCTGGAGGAGGTCCATTCACTGAAAATAAATACATAAATTTATTGATGGAAATGATGGCTCGTTAAAGACAAGCAGTTCCTGGGACTTCATTTTAAATTTTGGCTAATCTAGTTTGTGAAATCCAATAACTCAAAATTAGAGGACCCATTCTCGCTCTCGTAAAAAAGTCCTGACACTCGAGCTCACTGTCCAAAATAGGAGGAAGAAAGCTCTCAGAAGTTGCTAGTGCTAGTTGCAGTGCCCTCGCACCTGCTTCTGCGTGCTTGGCACCTGCAGAAATTGCTGATACAACGCATTACTTAAAAAAAAATTCTCTGATTTCTTGATTTTCCCGACAGCCGGAAACCATGTGAAATAATTGGAATTCCAAAATAGATTTTAGAAAAGTACAATCAAAGCAGTTTGAGATTAAAAGATTACAACTACATTATACTCATTTGAAAACACAGAGGAAAATTGCACTGCAATTCTACTGCTTCAATATTATTGTATGCTGAGCCTTCATAAGAAATTCTATGTTTTTTGTTTGCTCTGATTTGAAATTTGTACAGTATCACTTGAAGCCGATGCATTTAGATGATTCCTGATATACAAGACACTATGAAAGGCTATGGGACATATATATTTTGGTTACCATTCCAATTTGATGCTGAGGGGTCCATAGGAGGCATTGGCTGGCCATATCCCATTCCTGGAGGCATGGGTCCAAATTCGCCAGGAGGCGGTGGATTCATACTAAAACAAAACGAGAGAGTTAGAAAAAAAGTCACTTCAAAAAATCAGTTCTTAAACTTTGATGATTCCTTTAAAATGTTCCAAAAACTGAATTCATTCGAACAAGTTACTAATCCATCTTAAAGTAAAGATATTTTAACTCGTTTCAACTCTTGCGAGAAATGGAGGGTGCTTTCCTGTCAAAGAGGATCTTTCTACACGTAGGGCTAAGCGAATATTCGCAATTCCGACTACTCGCGCCGCGAATATTCGCTTCGTCTGCCTCGCGCACTATTCGCAAATTGCGAATAATCGCGCCGTCGCGAATAGTGAATTTTTGAACTGACATTTTCAAATATTCGCGCCGTCACGAGGAATGAATTTTCAAATATTCGCGCCATCAAAATTAACGAATTTCCGAGTGGCAATCGTGAAACGTTATGAGGACCTGCGCAAGGCTTCCGCTTCCCCCGAGACATCCCGAACGGCGGATCTCCTTTGATCTTTACCGACTTTGCCGAGTTTACGAACAGCGAGCGCCATTGCGATTGGGGAATAAGCAAAGAGCCCAAATTGAGGATTGAAAGACACAGAAATTTCTGAAATTGAAAGAAAAAGTACATAAACACATTTTTATTTACAGCGAAAAAAATAAAATACTAAAATGTGTCTGGTGATCCTTCGATACTAGCTTGACTGCCCGCGCAGTTACCTTCAAATCCTGGAAATGCATACGTAACTGCAGGGACAGTTAAGCCAGCATCCAGGGATCTTCGAACAAATTCTTAACAGCCTAGGCTACTATCATAGCATTTCATTGTTTTCTGGGCAGGCGTATGAGCAAATGGAAAATTCTTAAAAATTAGTCACATTTTTTTTGTCGACTTTTGTAATATTCGCGAATTTTCACACTTAAAAAAGTCATTTCCAATTATTCATTTTACTATTCGTAGCTGTGAATAATTGACTTAAATTATTCGTTATTCGCTTCGCTATTCGCGAATAGTTGCCGAAATTATTCGCTTCGTTCGGAAAATTCACTATTCGCACAGCCCTATTACATAGATTTGAAAAGTTTCCCTTAAATCTAAGGAGCTTTCTAATTCTCAAAGGTAGCTTTCATATATGATGGGATGATAAGATTTTCATGGAACCTCAAAGATAAAAAACAAGTAGCAAAAGCTACCTGCTGAGGGGGCGCCGCCCCCCCAGACCCCCCCTTTCAAATTATATATGTGAGACTTTGAGTATCATAGAAGTCGTGCGGCGACATGCCGAATGAAATGCCACAATTAAAATGATTGGATCAGATGATGAGCTGATAAAAGCCTTACGTAGTAATTTGGGAACATTTCTGA